CCCCCTCACCGCGGACAGATTCTTTGTGCATGTAAAGTCAAAGAAGTGAAAAGAAGTGGGGAGGAAAAGAAGGAAGAGATGTAACCCTAACCCCTCAGAAATACCCCCTGTCAGGCTCAGCTAATCAGGATTCTTCAGCTGTAAACAGACACACAGGCTTCAGCATAATAAACATAATCCTCCAGAAATACATCAAACCAGGAGAGCAGTGAAAATAGATGTCAACTGAAAATGTAAGCATCAAGTTTCAGGTTTATTTCATTGATGTATTACTTTTGTATCCACAAAGACAGGGGGAAACGCATAACGACTGGAAAACACGTGGTTGAAATAAAACAGTTTAAAACCAAATGAATTAGATGAAAAGAAATACAGTCAGAGAATAAAAGTGGGTCTTAAGATGCATCTTAAAAAAGATGCACAGGCCTCAGGCAGACTGTTCCAGAGCTGAGGAGCTGCTGCAGAGAAAAGCTTTTCCACCAAACTTGTTTTTGTACAAACAGGACACGGTCGTTGTGACGGGTCTGATGAGGGGTGAGACCATGAAGAGATGTTCATAGCCCTATAAGGATGCAAGGAGAGTGGTAGTTTGGACGTAGCCTGAGTGTATTAATGGTTTCTCGTACGTGGGAGGTGATTGAGGAAGGTATGAATATCTGTGCAGCAGTGAAAAGAGATATCATTAGATTGCATGACTCTTTTCAATGTAAAACTACTACAAAAGAAGGAGACCCAAAACTAAACCCTGTGGAACCCCACATGAAATGTTTGCAGGTGCAAAGGATGAGCTGCCGATGGAAACAGTGAAGTCCTTGTTTGTCATGTTTGAATGAAACAAATCAGAGGCAGGCCCAGAGTGTGATCCAGGGGAAAAGTGCAGTTGACACTATTAAGATAAAGCATTTACCAATTTCCCACAACTCTGAGGAGGGAGGTCATTTTTCACTCGTGCTGCAATGTTCCTGACTGGAATTTCACAAAGCTTTTGTTTCGGGTTAAAAAGAACAGGGTCTGAATAAAAACGACATTTTCTAAAACCTGAGATAAGAGAGAAACTCGGGTAAAATAATATGAAATACTTAGATCAAGACCAGGCTTCCTAACTGTGGAGCGCTCAAAAGAAAAGAACTGTTCAAACTCATTGTTGGACTCGGACCAGCTGATTTAGGAACTTTGTCTGTCTGCAATTAAGCGTCCACGCAGCGGTAGAGACACTGAGCAGGACGGGTCCTCCAGAGCCTGGGATTTTGTTTAGAAACAAATCTGTAAACTACTCACAGCTGATTGGGGAGGAATTTGTTGTGGATGGAGCAGAGGAGTGAGCTCCAGAGTTTGTGATGCTATGTAATAGTTATGAGTCAGTTCTTTGAAAACATGGTGAAAATATCCACATACAGTATTTATATCATCATGTCCAGCTCAGAGGCCCATTCATTTTAATGAGGGGTTTACACCATGTTGCATTACACGTGTTTTTCTTTTTTGTATTTAGGTCGTTTAAAATTTTATCTGACTGTTTCACGCCCCTTCATAATGATCCTGTAATGTTATGATACAGGGAAAGAATTATTAGATGTTGGGTTTTATTCCCAGAAATAAAAGTTAAGAGTGTTTCAGTGGTGTCAAGAAGTTTTTTAAACCTCAGCCAAGTTGATTTCTATTAATTGATTAAAATAATTATATTGAGTGTCGTCCAAAACCTATATAAACACATCTGTATGTGATAAAAGATATATTCATGTTACACAACTTTTTGACTGACACTTTGAAAGTGTGGTTCTAAATCATTAAGATGGTGAAATATTTCCCATCAAGTTATATTCAGTTATTCTACACTTGGAGTTTTGTAGTACTAGAAAAATATAAATGTGTATTCTCAGTACAAATCTCTGCACTGTGTTTTCAGGTTGTCGATTCTCGTGAACACTTTAAGGGAATGTCAGTCCAGATCACAGTGACCTCATGTTCTTGTGAACGTGATATATCAGAGAAACCCTTTGGGAATTTCATTAAATTTGGGACAAACATTAACTTAGACTCACGAATGACTTTTGGAGCTCTGGGGTAAAATGTTGGAAAAAACTATTTTTACCTTGTGAACAAGTTATCTTGAGAACACTTCAAGAGAATCCTTTCCAATTTTGCACTTAGGTTCCTGAAGCCTCATAGATTCTCTGATTTAGATTTGGGTGGTCAAAGATAAGGGTCACGTTGAACTCACAAACGTGTTTTTGTCCTCTTGAACAGGTCAAGTCTGCCACATGGACTCAAATCACAGTATTAATTGTGAACGCCCTCTGCAAACTTTAAAAAGTGTCTGGACGGAAACGCTCAAGGTGAACAGCAGGAGCGCCCCGTTCCCAGACACCAGCCTGGTCTTGGCTCAGCTCAGCCTCGTATGGTTGCATTGTTTGACAAGCAAGCCTCCAGGCAGTCCTCAAAAACCCAGCGGTGGGACTGCAGTGCTTCCAGATGTGGCCGGCCTGCATCTCTGGAACATCACATCGCAGTGTGAACACGAGCGGGAAACACCCAGCATCACACTCACAACACTACAACTCACCTCAGTGCTGCAGTTTGTCACTTTCTACAGATGTGGTGCAATCATGAAATGTTGCCTGGTTGTTTTATCAATGAGGTCAGTGTGTGTGTGTGTGTGTGTGTGTGTGTGTGTGTGTGTGTGTGTGTGTGTGTCTGTTAAAGCATTTATAAAAGGCGTGTACAGTACATGTAAGCGTACATGTGAACTTCAGTGGATGACTCAGTGAGGGCTGGTCTTCATCTGTCCAGGGGCGCACAAAAACTGCAGCCAAGTGTTGTGTGTGTAACGCTGCAGGCTTTTACGGGCCAATCAGCATATGTACACAACATGTAGGAGGCAGGACCAGTGCTTCCTGTTTACCAGGTGCATCTTCAACACAGAGAATTAGATCACACTTAGCCTTTTTAACATCTTTCTACAAATTGAGTCAAGCTGAGCTCGGTCGTGTTGCAGATAATCAGGTTTCATTAAAAAACCACAGCCAACGATGATGTGTTGTTTTTTTTTGGTTTGTTGGAGGAATTACACAAAAACTACATGAAGGATTATCGGTGTGGGTCATGAGAGAGCCCTTTTAAAGTATGGTGCGGATCTGGATCAGGGGATGGAGGCAGGAATTGTTTTTCACTTACTTCAACATAGTGAGAGAATAGTTCATGGATGTTCTATACGGGGAGGTAATCACTCTACCGAGGGCCATTCAACTTTCGAATGTGTTTTCATCTTACACTGAGCCCGTGCTGTTTTGTTCTCCAAGTCACACCAGTGGAAATACCTTGTATTTGTACCTCGTCTACAACATTATCCCTTGAAACTTCCTGACGTGCGACCACAGCCCCTGCACTGCAGACGCCATTGCACCAAAACCTGCAAACTTTTGTGAAAGAGCGATTTCACAGCAGGAAACGAAGCTGCAGCACAGATAAGGCTCAGCCAGATGTGCAGTCTCACCCACCAACGTTTCATTATGTTCTCTCTGGTGCCCACATGTGTGCGCACACAAGGACATGGGAGGAAGCTTTTGGGGGAAACGGGTAAGCAGCAGGCAGTTAGAGAAGGGGTGTGGAAAGAGAGAGAGAGAGGGAGAGAGAGAGAGAGAGAGAGAGGGTGAAGGAGTGGGGCCATATAAAGAGCAAGAGAACACAAGCCACGCTTTATCCTGCTTGACTGTCCCGCTCACTCAGACCTCACAGGAAACTCCCAACCAGCTCCCCCCCCTGCCCTCACACTCGCTCACCCTTTACTCACCACACTTTTTTGCTTTCACACACAGTCCCACCGGCTGCTCTGAGTCCGTGCAGAGAGGATGGCTGCGTCCATGTGCAGAATGAATTGGCTCTGGAGGAGGATGGCTGGAGTCCTGGTGCTCTGCGCTCTGTTGCTCAGCAGTGAGTACTCTTCCAATCATTATTCACATGTTGATTATTTTCTTTTGTTGCCTGTGGAATTTTTTTTTTTTGCTTTTGTTTAAAAAAAAATCGTGGATACCACAGATGCACATTCAGTTTCACACAATGAAGCATGTGTGTACATCGACCGAGACCCTACACACACGCTAGCTGGGGGGGGGGTTCTGCTTTGATGTGTTTTTACCATGAGGGTGCAGACAGATGCAGAGAGGAATGGTTAGCAGGGGTGCAGCTGCAGACACAAAGGGGTATGTTCAGGGGTGGAAAGTTGCAGTTGAGAGTAATTATGTTTTACATCCTGCAGTGCACCTGGGTGGAGCTAACATGTGTCTGGATGCACGTAGAAGGATTTAAACCACAAACACACACGACTTTATTCTTCACTACGAGCAGAGTCAGATTGGTCCTATGTGTTGCGTGTTGTTCTGTACATGTCTGCATCTCTGCTGAGTTGTAAAGATACTTCAAGCGCATGTGATCTGCATGTGTGCTCCATACAACAAAGCGACCGCAGAACACATGGAGTCATCAGAGAGCAAACTTGCATCTGTAAACATCTGTCGCTGCAGACGTGCAAACAGTAAATGTATGAGTGTGTGTGTTTGTGTGTGTGTGTAATCACGTGGATGTGAGTGGACTCACTGGTCCACGTTGGAATCAGTCTCGAGGCCTGATGCTAATTGCAGGGTGATGTATGGCTTGGGTAGCGTTGCTTCCTCGCTGGTTGTGAAGCAGGACTGGTTCTAGTAACGACTTCTGCAGAGCCGCCGGGACCCATCTATGGGCAGAGGTGTGGTAAATGTTAGGAGTGACCTTGGAAGGGCTGCAGGAGGGGGTGTTCCACACTGATGAAAATAACCAGGGGTTTACTTTAAAAGGGAAAAGATCATGAGATGGCGGAACATGTTCGTAGTTTGCACAATAAAATGGCACAGTGCATACCGTCTGCATCGGCAGCTTAACAGATGGTAATTAGATTTACATGGAAATCGAATTACTCCAGGATCTCCCCACCAAGAAATTAAAGCCATGATACAGGAACAACATTTTGAAACACGTCTGAATATCAGTTGTGGGATTTGTTCTGTTTGTTGTCTGTGAAGCAGCAGTTCTAGTGCAAGTCTATCATTTTTGATCATCCCAAATATTAGACAAGACGTAGTTTATCTGTGTTGTTTTCCTGTTTTAAATAGAAATTAACTATGTTTTAAATATGAACTTGAAATAGGATCTTTCACTTACATCCCTGTTTTGGATTTTCGCAGCTTCTGATTTCCCCCTTTAAGAATTTCACAAGTGTGTTGTCCCGTGTGTGTCCAATCATCCTCAATTATTCACCACATCCAACAGCAGCCCTCCGCTCACATGCTCCTGCCACACTGTTGACACTTGTGTCCAACTAGCATTTCAGCGTGAATGTGCAGGAGCAAGGTCACATTTGGCTCTGAAAGAAGTTTTGTCTCAGTTTATTATACTGCTCATAACGGTTTCTTGAATCTAGATCACGCCACTTTATCGTCATACCTCCTTTTTCTATTTTGGTTTTTTTGTGTTTGGCATATTTTGCACCAACAGCCAAGTCACAAGAGACGCTCTGTCTCCTCATTGACTCTTTTTACAATATATGACTATGTGACTGCAGCGGTATATGGGTCAGAGGTCTGTGTCTTATGACGTCAATATTCTCAAACAAGGACACAGACAGTTTTAATGATTCACGCTCCTTTATGACCGTCTCGTTCAGATGAAGAACACTCTTTGTCAAGGAGCCCTCGCCCCATTTTTCCAGTTTTGTATTGAAACTGATGAAGTTTAATTCCAGGGTAAAAAAGCTTGATTGGGCAAATCTGTGATAAAATATTTAAATAGGTCACCAAGAAGTGAGCAATCAGATTTACTAGAAAAACTTTCCTATCAAACATATATGTAAATAGGGGTCATGTCTTATCTCCGTCCATCTTTGTGATTTTGTGATAAAAAAATAAATATTCTCTAATTAATTCCACGTCAGACTTTTTATTATATATTTCCTCGTATCGCATCATCCCAAAATAAACCATATAACAGCAAACTCATTTCACAGAGGCTTTGGATGTAGCACTCGACCAGATGGAGAACAAATCTGACATCAAGCCAAATCAAAGGCGAGCTGACATCACACACCACCGTCACATGTCTGCGTTGTGTGCATCTACAGCTCACTTGCTAACATCTGTAACATCTGCAGCCGCAGAACTCATCAGTAGAAACACTGATTCAGACGAACAGGAGCACGAGGACAGCAGAGCGGATGTGACGGCAGGAGACGAGATCAGAGCCTGCCGTGCGCTCGATTGGTGAACGTGTTTGACTCTGGTTTATCGGAGCAAACATCCTTGTCACATTCGAGCAGGCTGAGCACCCGGACTCCCTGGCAAACACAGATTTAGTTTATGGCTCCTCTTCCCATGGCTGTCTCTCAGCAGTTATGCAGTCGTGCAAATATGTAGCGCTGAAATGGGCATGCACTGCGATGTTGGATGATGTCATGCAATGCGTCTTGGAGTATGTTAGAAGCTGTCTCTCTCTCTCTCTCTCTCTTTCTCTCTCGCTCGCTCAAGGTTTCGAGGGGGAAAACCCGGGCTTTAAATCTGCTCCGGAGACGGAGAAAAACATCTCGTCTCGCTCATTTCAGGCTGTCATCTGCTCTGGTTTTCTTTTATGAAGTCAGGGCCTCGGGCAGAGCTGAATGAGCTGTGACAATTGCTGTTACAATATACCACATTAAACCACGGTATTCGCTCATGGTTGGGATTCCGAGCTTGGCGCGCATGTGCACGCACAGAGTCAGAGCTCAGTAGATGTTCTTTTGTTTACCTCGCACTCGATCGATACATGTCGTTTAAAAATGGCACAGATCCTAAATGCTGATCGGATTTTGCAAAGGATGTGAATTTGTTTTTCCAAATCCAACCTTTATTGTAGACACAGAGAGTTTATCTCAGTTTGTCAGACAGCTTCGCCCCTGCCAATGTAAACAGGCACAGAATGTTGCCCCTCTTTCTCAGGGCCCTCAGCTATTGACCGGCATTCTTTCAGTCCCAAGCCGTGATGAAGTTCGCTTCACGTCATCTGCTGGAGGGCGTGGGTCTCTTTTATGTAAGCTTTGGCAGATAGCGGGCTTATGTCAGCGCGGGTGTGTGTCCACTGGGGCTCAAGGTTACGGCTGAGGGGCCACGTGAGCTCTCAGAGTAATTAAACCTGGAGCCTGTGTTCTGTCAAACTGTCGATGAGCGAGTCTACAACTGAAATCATTCAAATATTCTCAAGACGTGATGACTTTTGTTATCTCATCTGCCAGCTCTCATCAGAGTGTCCTCCCCTTACAAGGGATTCTTTATTTGAATCCGACTCCATTCCAAAGAAAACACATTTATTAAGGATAAGAAAACTAAAACCAGCGACGCCACCAACTAAGTGATCATCCAGGAAAAGGAGTTGACTGAGAGACAGATCGTCGAGCAACAATATTTACCTAGTGGAACAATCTTAATGAAAAGCAGACGCCGCTTGCATTCAAATCTCACTTTTCCAATTACTGCTGTACTGGTGAGCTTATTGTTCCTTGTTCCCCTGGCACCCCGCTGCAATTTTACAGCTGTTTGGTTTTACCAGCAAAGAGGAGGAGGAGGGCGGGAGAATAAAAGTCGCCTTCTCCTCCTGATTGTGGGGGTCTCCGGGGCCGACAAACTGCAGATATCACTGCTCGGATGAAAAACCACCCCCTCTGTTTTATCGGTCCTATAACACTGAAGTGTGTGTTCTTTGGAAGCGCTCTCTTCCTTCTTCTTGTGTCATCCCAGCGTTTTCACACTGGCTCAGAACTTGAACTACAGCAACAGCTCAGTGATCCTCCGTGATTGATCCCAGGATTTTGCGAAGTCAAACACCAGTAGAGAGCAATCGAGGCAAAGAAGCACTTGAATGCGCGCTGGATAACCAGACAGGGCTGTCTTTATGGAGGGGGATAGTGGATACCCTGGGGGCTAAAAGCACTTAATGAGCCTTGACTGAGGCCTTTTGACTGCCAGAATAATTGCTCCTGGTAATTCATGTTCAGTAAAAGCCATGTTGTTGCAGCCAAGCTTCTTACAGTAATTGAAAACACAAGACTGTTTTGACACTATGTTCATTTGTACTGTATGTGGGTGCATGTAGAGAAACACAGTGTGTGATTCCGTGCAGAGGAAACTGCAGTTTAGAGTTTGACTATTGGTATTATTTCTCAATCGCCCTCTCCCACTTTGTCTCTCTGGCCTCAGTCATATCAGAACCAGATTGTTTTGGGCTCTATAGGTTTTTATATCCTTTTACAACCTCTCCCCACACAGTCTCATGTAAAAACAGCAGCTGGAATCTGTCCATGGACATCTGCTGCTGAAGCCCAGTCCTGGTTCTGAGTCAGGGAGGGGAGCAGCGAGCTGCTGCAGCCTCTCGGAGCAGCTGGTGTTTCCAGTTTCTAATCTGCTAACAAAATGGATGGACTGTTATGGAAACAGGTTTTAAGTTTCACTGCCCTACTAAAACTATTTTAATGACTGAAATTAGGGGTTGAATAAAAACAAGGGTCGGTAGCTGCTATCAATCATAATGTTACCTTCTCATTCCTCCTTTTCTTTCTGTTTGGGTTTTAGAAGTGGTCCAGTAACAGTGTGCATTAAGGACAGACAGAAATGTAAGCTTGTGTGTGAACCACTTAACCACAGAGCCCTGCAGGCTCTCTGCTGTGTGTCTGTGTTCCTGGTGCATGTTATCTGCAGCCCTCAGCGTGTTCACCTCTGCAGAGGTCACTGCACGTCGTGTGCTGTTACAGCCACATCCTGTTATAGGTTGTGCATGAATAACATTCCAGATCTGTTGTTAACTCCTCTTTGTGCTGTTTTCAAAATGATCTCCCCTGTTTTGTTAAGAAACACCAGGGGTGTGGGCCGGGTGGAAAGGGTCAAGTTTTGCCACTCGTCCGCTCAGAAACCAAAATAGTTCTCACGTTCAGGAATCCGAGTGGTTTATTCACTGGAATCACTTTTTCCCAGATTGTCCCTGGAGAAGGAAGTAGTAGTGAAGCGGAGCGGGTTTGTTCTCTGTGGCTTCACTTGGTGGTTTAGTCTTTGACAGTAGTGCCGTCTTTTTTAATTTTTTCTTGCAGAATGTTTATGCTATGAGATCGCAGTGATTCTTAGAGGATGGTGTCCTGGAAAGAGGAAACAGAGCCATGTGTCAACACAGACATTTTTGTAATCGATGAATCATTCGAGTAATTCATGAATCACAGTAACAATTTATGCATTCGAGCCTCTCAAATGTGAAGACTTGCAGCTTTACCCTCTTTGAGTTCGACTTCACTTCTTGACACATGCAACGAGCATTGTTTGCCTTAATTGTCATTTTATGGAATAAAGGAATCTCACTTGTCCATTTTGTTGGTAGCTGCTCTAAGTCCACCTGAAGAGCTCCTGACTCAGCTGAGGTGACATTTAGAAAAAGAAAGAAATGGATGAGATGAGACTTTAGGTTCTGCTGTGGACATCTGTAATTGGAGGTCGTGGATGTGTGGCGACAGCAGGGTGGGACTCATTACGACAGCCAAGTTGTTTTCTCAGTGGTCTGGGTGGAGGCTGAAGCTTCTCCTCCTTACGCATGATGTCACCGGTCTGACAGCTCTGTGCCAGTGCAGCACATGTGCAGGGAGGGATGGACGGAGTTCCCCGAGGAGACTTTACCGCAGCTGCGCCGTTCTTCAGCTCATCAGGACTCCTCCCCAGTGTCCCCAGAGAGGAAGCAGGCCTCATCTTTTAACACCAGAAGTGAGAGACTCTGTTTGTTTTTGCCGCCATGTCCTCAAGTCAAACGCTTCACCCTAAATCTGAGCGCTGCAGTAGGTGATTACATGGCAGAGAGACTGGGACAGGCTGTGAGAGACACAGATGATATCTGACGTGAACTCACACTCACACAATCTGCTTGGCTGTGATATGCACAGTGCAGCTATCAGTTCACTGCTGCAGCTGAAGTGACCTCACTGATTTTAAACTGCATCACCACAGGCGCCACCGGAGCAACAAGAAAATCAGAAATCCTTTCAAAGGCCGAACTAAGAGTGAAAAAGAATTTTTATTTTTGTAGCTGCGGCCGTCGCTTTCGGAGGTTATGATAACAGTTTATCACAGAAGTTTGTTTTGTTCGTGATCTCTGTCTACCTCAGAGTGAAAACACTTGTGCTGCATGGGCGGAGAAAGAAAGGAGAACTGTTGAGCAGGACAGAGGAGTCAGGGCAGGAAATCAAGCTGTGTGCTGCAGAGCTGGACCTGAAACTAAATGGAGCTCGCTAAGATCAACAAAAATGACCTCATTAATTTCATCATGTTGTGTGCATCAGCTGCCCATTTTTATGTTTCCAATGATGTGTGTTTTCCCTTGTTTTGGCCTAACACACGTGTCAGCTACATAGGCCTTATGTGTGTATGTGTGTGTGTGTGTGTGTGTGTGTTGAATATCTTATTCAAGGACACTTTAGAATCCGTGTCAGGGATTGAACCACCGACCCTCTGGTTAGTGGACGACCCTTTTGAACCATAGCCGCCCTGTGCGTGCATGCGTTTGGGTGTGTTTGTGAATCAGTGGTTCAATTAAGAGTTGGAGGACAGTTGAAAAGAGGTTTTTCTGGAAGGAAACAGAACCATATGTAAAAACTTCAGAATCCACCTTGTCGACTCTCGTCCTTGCTCTCCCCTGAGTTCACTGTTGCCTGAACATCTTGGAAGTATACGATTTACCACCCGAAGCACTTAAACCCAGGAAACCTCACATCTGTATGTGTTTGACTTCATCTCGGCCTCGTAATCTGATTCATCAGTGTGGACCACCACATTCTGTATTCTGGAATTCAAGGAATGAGTGATGATGTGCATTACAGGCTTCTCCATATAATATAGATCTTAATATCCAGTGTGGAATTCTTGACAAGAGTCCAGTTTATTTAAAGACCTGATGTCTAATATGTTTATCGTGTAACTGACGTTTTAAGTGGCCTACGTTTCTAGAAGAACAAGTGCAACACTTTAGTAATGCCTGTTGCTGTTATATAAATCAGAAAAAAAACATTCTCAGAGGACTACATAAACCAAATCACAGTCGTCATTTGCCAATTAAATATTTGCATTCATCTTGCCCTATATTTGTTTTTGCCTCGTCCAACTCCGGGCAAAAGAATGCAGCATCAGATCTGTTGCTCACAGAACCAGGCCCACGTCACATCCCCTCTTTAACCGATTTAGTTCTCTACATCTGGCACGGCTACACACCACACACCACGTCAAAGCCTGGAACACCCAGGCTGAGCGCTTCAAGGAGGACAGCCTGGGAAGGAAATCCACTTGATGTTGCCCAGTAGTGGAGACAGTAGTGAAGGGCAAGATTTACTTGAACTCAGTGGTTGCATATATTCTGCAGACTCAGCCGTGTTGCTTTCTGCAGAGAGACGGAGGTTGTGTTTATGGAGCAGAGTGTGTGTGTGTGTGTGTGTGTGTGTGTGTGTGGGTTCTTCTGCGTTGAGACAAGATGTCCAGAGGCTTCGTGCTGATGCTGTGGGGCCTGACTGGAAACACACTGACGTTTGTGACACAGCTGTCTGAGGTGGTGGAGCGCTGCTGTGTATAAACCTCTGATTGCACAGTGCAGAGTTTAAGCATGTGACAAGTGTGTTTATGTTGTGTGTCTGTCCATGTGCATGTGTGTCCATGAGCATATGCTTAGACAGTGAAGAGCTTTCAAAGAAATCACAGTTCGTATTTGTCAGCAGAATCAAAATCGCAGTTGATGAAATTCAAACAATACGCAGCCCTGGCCTGTTAGGAAACATAATATCACCGTGGCCATCAAGGAACTTATTCCAGTTTGTACAAGTTTGTCATGTTTATAGGATTTCAAAAACACACTAAACAATCTAAATCCGACACAGTTATATAATTGCTTCTACAACCAAATAATGAGAGTGGTGCACCAAACAGATTTCCTCTGAGTGCAGCATAGTTTTGGTTCGATGTTAAATTGTTTACACGCTGTACTGGTTTCCTTCCTCACTGAGGGGAGGTGATTGGACAGGAGGAAATGTTTAAAGGACTCTAGGCCTCGTTAGCGTCTGGAGAAGTTTAGCTCTCTCTTTCTGATTGGTAGTTTGATCCCTGATTGGGGCCTCAACACACACAACGATACGACTTCATGGCTTCGGCAGAGAGATCAGGGGAGATGGGCTCGGGTGTATAGAAAGAATTTATGTGTGTTGATATCGCAAGTTAAAATTACTAACCCCACACTGAAAGAGTCCGACAACAATTGGCTGCATCAGAGTTTGTAGAACTTTCCTGTGTCAGAGTGAATGAATCTGGAGTGAACAGGCTGTGACCTTTTCACTGAGTAGTTTATTTGCATAGGGTGCAGACGGTGAGAATTAGCCCACATGTGACCACTAATTAGCAAACACACATGCTAAAAGGTTGTGCCATCACAGCCAAGCTGTTCAAACCAACCCTCTGCCCTCATTTACTCATTCCACCGAGTGTGTGCTTTGAATTTTATCCCAAAATACCAAACATTTTATAACATGAGAAGAAATTGAATAGCTTGGATTCAGAGAATTTACCGGTATTCTAGGATTGTGATTTTTTTCCCCTAAATATTTAACATTAATAGTCCGTCAAGTGGATTCAGACGCCATCATTAAAAAGCTAAAAGCCGATGCATTTCATTAAAAATCTGTTCCACCTCTCCTGCACCTTACCTGCAGACAACGAAAACTTGCTCAAAGGCTCTCAGCCCCAAAATCTTGTCTCTCGACCACAGATTCCGCATTTTCACCTGCAGAATCTGTTTTTAGGGATTAACTTCCCTCCATGACACCCCCAAAAGACCCGGATTCTCGTGAACTGAAGTAGGACAAAGACATCACAGAGTTATAAGATGTTTGGAGGGGCAGTGTTTGTCTCCGTTAAGTTTGACAGGAGGCCCACGGTGTCTGACTCTTCAAATCCTGGAACAAAAAGTTTTAATGTACAGAGCAGATGTTTTCATCAAAGAGCTTTGATTCATCAGATACATTTCAAACTGTTAATGTTGCTCTCTCTCTCTCTCTCTCTCTCTCTCTTTCTCTCTCTCTCCATTCCTTGCAGATGAGGTGATATGTCAAGAAGACGCAACAGTAGAACCCCCCGCCATATCTGACGCCAATCCCACCTCAGGAGCCAACGCTGGTAGGAGCCTTGATAAATGAGATATGAGATGAGCAGTGGGGTCCTGGCTGTTCTGACAAGTTATTTTAAAGTTCAGATTTCGGTCACCTTCACCTGTCATACTGTCCGTCCGCCACGTGCCTGTGTATAACATCTATGTATGTGGATTGTGTTCGTAGCGACCGATGCTGCTGCTCCAGATGCTGTTACTCCAGATGCTGCTGCTCCAGATGCTGCTGCTCCAGGTGTGTCAGCGGCCCCGACCGCAGCTGACCCTGCGACGGCAGCAGGTCAAGACGCTGCAGCCTCTGGGGCTCCACTCTCACCAACAATTATAATCATTGCAGCCAATCCAGACAGCATGGACACGTCAGGGTCCACTGTGGCCCCCTCTGACAGCAACAATAATGGAGTTGCACCCATTGAGGTTGTTCATTTGATGCTGGTGAGTACCTGCCTGTTAAATGTTCAAACGGGGCCTTTCTACTTTTCAACAATTCTGTAAAATATACTGAATTTATTTTTTTTTAATGGATGCTGAGGCGTCTTCTCCTGAGCTCATGTATCGATCTGTCTCCCCAGCCTGAAGTGAAGTGTGTTGGAAAAGACGTCATCCCAGAGGGCAACGCCGTCAAGGCTGTGGTGGCGACTGATGATTGTGTGAGTTTATCGTTACAATGTGACTCATGTAAAAGTACGATTTCAACCTACCGCCACCACGACAGCAGGATCCTGCCCCACTGCCACACACAGGCGGCATCGAACCAACAACCCGCTGAGATTTAGGCCTTGCAACATTTTAAACCTCGGTGAACTGAGGGCTGAGGACAGTCGCCATCTCCCGTGTCAGAGTAATCCACTGATCCAGAGTAATCCAGCAGCATCTAGTGACACATTCTTTTCTTACCAGGATCTTTATCACCCCCCCCCCCACCCCCCTCCCCCGCACCGTCCAGAGAAAATAGCTCACTCTTCGTAGGAGAATAAGATTAATGTGCTTTTAAAGAGCTACAGTTGGAAATTCAGCCCCTGATACAGGCGGATCTTTTCTCAGACATTCCGCGGGCGTTGTAAATCTTGAGACTGTGTTCCTGGCAGGAGATAAATGAAGAGGACGACTAATGTTTCCTCTCCTGCTCCGAGGTCCTTAGGGCAAGAGGAGGACTTGCAAGGGTGTGGTTCAATTTAGCGTTTTTTTTTTTTTTTTATAAGGCAAAAAGCTTTTACTACCATAAGAGGTGTTTTTCAGGTTTTGTCCCAAGAGGAAGACAGGGAGTTAGATATATCCACCTCGTATTCGGAGACGTTTTACGACACAATTATGGTTTTCTATTCCACTGTTAAAGCCTAATTGTGGCAAAGCACAGCAAAAGTTGTACAACTGTCGGTCCAGGTGCACAGAGGCGGCGACGCAGCAGGTCAGATCCTGGTCTGCATATTTTACATCAGCCTCCATTTGGGTCCTTACTGTAACATCCACCGAGCCAGGACCAGCTGCAGAAGTCATCTGTCCAGCTCGGCCTGAAACTAAACATGGCGCACAGTGCCAGAGGTCTGAGCCAGATGTTGATTAGTTCAAAACCAGTGAATGGCTGGATGAAAGAGCTGGAAGACATTCAACAAAGCAACAATGCTGCAGGGTTGTTCAAAAATCAAAACGATCTTCCTCATACCTGCACTATGCATTCATGAATATTTCAGTGTCACAATAGACCTTTGTGCTGTTGAAGCGTCTTTATCGAAATACCATGCAAATTACCGTGAACTCGTCTGAACTCCAGGCGTCGGTGCCACGTAAGGTCAACCACAGCGAGTATGAGATTCCTGAGAGTAAGACGAGCAGCATATGATGGGTCACCAGTGACACAGACAGATGGACGAGTGAAGTGGGTCCACGGGAGTGATTTTTCCTGTCTTCCGCCCTTCCTCACAGATCTGGATGTTACGACGGAGTCCAGCTGCGGGCCCACTCCCAACTAACTGAGGATTCGGGGGTTTGCTCATAGTGGTCCTCTGGGAACACTGAGAGCTGTCTGGATCGCATTACAGAAAATAAAAAGCGCGTTCCCAAATCACAAAGCGTAACGTTGTGCAATGAGGTGATATCATAGTTCAGGGTGAAGGTGAAACAAAGAAGGTGTGGTCAGCAAGTTTTCCATCCAACTGCTTTTTGTCTCCATTACGCACACGGAGGAGCGCTGAGCGCTGATGGTCAGGAACATCACATTTTGTCCACGCAAAAAAGCCATACACTGAAAATTGCAAGTTGTGAGTTCAGTTAGTTTTCTACAATCAGGGAATTCATTTCTTCAAGATTAATTCTCGTTATTGCTCGTCTGGGTTTATCCAGTTATTGATTGTACGAGTGAACACTCATCTTCTTCCATCCTTTCTCACAGGAGGCAACCAAACAGATTATTCTGTCAAACCCTGCAGGCTGGTGCCACAGCAAAAACTGTAATCTAGAAATCTTCCAAGATGGCAACAATGTGCTGGTGGCCAGTGATGATGGTGGGTACTGATGACACAAATACAGAAAATTTACTTGCACTTGAACTATTTCATTTATTAGTGACACGTATGTGTACTTTGGTTTTGGATTTTGTTTTGCGCAGCAGCACTAATTTATTTCTAATGTTTGTTACCCCTGCAGCTAAGTTGAAAACTTTGGCTGAAGCTCTGCAGAGTGAACATTTGAAAGACAAGGTAAGATAAAAGATACCAACGTGAATGTGATGGTGCAGAGGTGAAATAAACTTAATGCAGGTTCCTACGAGTGAAATTAACTCACGCTCACGATAACCTGTTTTATTTCTCCTTTGATTTCTCAATCAACATAAAAATCCACTGATGAACCTACTTCTTCTGACCACAATTTCATCTTGTCCCTGTTGTTCTCAGCTGGGTGTGACAAAGATTGAGACCCCGTCATCGTCAGGTTCCTCTGTATTCGTTGGAATTCTGGTCACCGGTCTGCTCGCTGCCCTCGCGATCACTGTCGGTTACTTTAAATGCCAACGCAGGGCCGACCCCAAGGGAGTGAGGCTGGTAAGAACGTTTTCTCGTGTTCTCTTAAGAATTTATGTACAATCTGCTGCACTGCATGTCCCCCCTCCCCCCCCATGCATGCTCTATGAGACCTAGATCGTTCAGCATTCAGCCAATGAAGTGAAAAAATCATTGCGTGGATTTAGCTTTTCGTGCTGATCTTTCTGATTTCTGTAATAATCGTTCTAAAGTAACGCTCATCTATGTGTCTTCGAGCACAGCTGTAATTATACATCCTGCAGCACTGCATAGATTTACTTGGGCAAGGTTCACGTCTTACAGCATCTGGAATCACAACAGGTCGATTCCCTCAGTTCCTGTCTGTGATTTAATCAGGGAACGTTGCTGGATAGTTATCAGAGAAAATTCGCTGCAAGTGTTTCATTTCCAAAGACCCACACCCTCCTCGCCGCTGCTTTATTCATCTGCAGAGCTTGTTTTTTCATCCCGCAGCTGTTTCTCTGCACCATTCTTAATATCACATGACAGCAACCACATTGAAGGGTGTGTTTGTTTCTGAGGAACAGAGTGGGGGTGAAGGGATGCATCTGTGTGCAGAACTGTATCTGATCATTAAACTGTGTAATTTTTAACATCTAAAGATTATTTTATCGACCAACCGAGGAACTCTGAAGGTGTATGCCTTACATTCAGAGTATTATCGTTTGCTCTAAACAGTTGAACTGTATGAGTTGCTGAAGTGGAGATTTCTGGCTCAGTATGAGAAGAACATCTATGAACTTTAATACCCAATACATTTGTTATTGGAAACTATTGTTTATATCTGTAGGCAACACAAAGGAAAGTGTCTAGAATGAACGAAGTGGTGCAGACAACATTCACAGTTCTGCATGGTGACTTTTGGTGAATCAAAGGGAAATCTACATGGCATCGTAACATAAACACATACGTGTGTATTTTGGATGTTTTCTGTTGCCCAAAGCTTTAAAAACATTGGTTTTGCCTGAAGTGTCTGATGAAGAAAGATCTTTGTTCTGTTAAAGACAGAGTTAGTGAAGTGGTAATGATCTCCAGGTATTTTCCATCCAACAAGTTTTTGGATTTGTTCTGTATTTGTAGGCGGAGGAGGCCTATCCAGTGGATCCGGAGAACCAGGGGAACACCCTTGTGTCTGTGGCCCCCCTCAACCCCCCTCCAGAAACTCAGGAGAAACCCAGCGTCAACGGAGAGTCCCCCGAGCCGGCCAAGACCGAGCCTGCTCCTCCTCCCACCAACGGCCATTCCACCGCCAAGACAGCAGACACAGAGCTGTGAAGTAGACGACCGACGAATGGCAGCCCAGGAACTACCCCCCCACAAACACAACCCCCGTCCACACACACACCCCTGAAAACTCACCTCCTTTTTCTGAATCCCCCCCACCCCCAAGTGCCTCAACAAACATCAGGAAACCTAGTCTGATGATGACAATGACGATGACGATGAAGGCTCAGTACCCGGGTCGTTGACGGCCGTCAGGCTGGAGGCGAGAGAGCGGAGAGGGCGGAGTTCAGGGTGTGTAGTTTAGCGATAATCAACACTGGCTCCCGTGACGTCTGCAACCTCTGGAGTCACATTCACGTGCTGTCAACACCCAGCAGGGTCTCGTGCTCGTCGTCAGCCTTAAAGCTTCAACCAAAACCCTTGATTAGGAAAAACAAAGAATAAGCTCATAAATGAAATTGTTCCTTGGTTTATTGAAACGACAGACAGACAGATTGACAGGAGAAAAAGAAACACGGTGCCTTGAAATCTGTTTACAAGCTTCTCGGAGAGAAACTCCATCAGGCTTTCGTCTTGTTCATCTGATTGAATTATTGATGTGTGCGAATGTGTGTCAAATCCTGCACGTGTGGGTCAACATGTACTTGCATCTGTACTGTAAATTTCCATACGTGCATCTACACTGCTTTTTTTCTGCTCACTGTATGTACTGTATGCATGATTGATGTGGAGCCATGGGTTTGAATGTGCATGTGACATTTGCCTTTAAATATGTACAATTTTGTAAAATAAGTCGAGTGGCGGCTCACCGAGTTACGGCCGCTCTCCTGAACGACGAGGACGGAGTATAGTATTAGAATTCACCAATCTGCTACTGCAAAGTGAAGTGACATCACAAAGTTAACGCAAAGCTCATCCATTGTCAGTATTATTCTCTTTTCAATATACTGTATAAGCTCTTTTTACTCTCAGTATTCTATTGATCAGTGTGTATGGTATGGTGACTCTGTCTTGTTTTTATTCTGTGTACTTTCATTTTTGTGCCAAAGAATTTCACTTCATAGCTTGTGTTGTACTAAAACACGAACTCTCTGGCACCTTTACAATGTTTGATCCAGGTCACATACGATACACAAAGATGCTCGAGTGCCACGACGGCGAGAAAGAAGCAGCTTGTGGTTGAAATCTGTTGTTTTTTCTTTCCTTTGGTTTATAAATTAAGACAAACCAGAGAGAAAAGCACAAAAAGGAAAAATGTATTTTATTTTCGTAGAACTAGAACCAGCAAGATAAATGAGATGTCTCACATTAATTCTTTCCTTTCAATTCATTTTCGCTTTTCACTGCTAACATTCCAGTGTGATTATTTCATTCTTCCAGCGGTTTAAATTTGATTTAACGTGAAAAAAATAAAAAGTAAAAAAGTAAACAACTTTTGATGAACTGTCGTTTTTATTCTAAAAGAAAAACAAAGGAGTAAAACGTGCACAAACACATACGTGTGTACTCTAACACGCCTGAAATTTAAATCCCACACAGCCCATAAGGTCACACAGCTGGTTTGGATAAGAAGTAGTAATGACATCACTTCACACTGTTTTGTCTTGCATGGTTTGGGTGGGGCAGTGAAAACATCCCCCAGCTGCCTTTCCTCCACACGCTCATGAGCTCCATGTCACTGCAGCGTCCACTCACTCATCCATCACGTTGTATATTTAATTTTTCATCCTGTCGTCATCCACATGTACATGACAGTGTGACCGAGTTCATTTCCCATCAGTTCACACCCTCTTTCATCACTAGATCAGGCCCGATGTGAATTCCCACCCTGCCCTGACCCTGGAAAATATTTCCTAAAGGCCATTCAGCGGCCCCGTGAACCAGTCCCGTCTTCACATTACGCCACAACTGCACAAGAAGCACATAACATAGATGTAAATATATTGAGTGGAGTGTCGTCATCTATAACCTGAGACCAGCCAACTGCTCCACGGTTCAAATTTAAAGGGTGTAAATCCCTTCGGACACGAATGTTACTGTATGAGCTCGACTGCATGTGCACTCAGTGCACGCCTGGTATTTGCAACCCATTTGACCTTGAACTCTATGAGATGAATCCTCAGCTATGGTCATCTTACTCTACACAGCCTCTAACTGACGTGAGGATATCGAGGGCACTGCTCTACTCTCACCTCTGTTGAACTCAATGGTTAAAGTCAAACACAAAAATATCCACACGTTGTCATTTTCCCCTAAAAGTATCAAGTCATGCACATTTATGTCCAAACACGTGACTTGATGTAAAGATGCTGTATACGTCAAGGGAGAGCCCATTAAATTTGGGGGGAAGATCCAGGATTCTGGAATTTTTACACCGATTAAAAAAGTAATGGATGGATCTATGAAAAAAACAGGAGCATTTGGGGGACTGATGTGTAAGAGTCTGAGCAATTTGGTGCAGTTTGACTGGGACGGATGTGATAGAGTGCCATTGTAGCTGCTTATAGGCAGAGCACTGGTCTTCTTTCAGACTACAAAATACACATGCAGGTGTTTACGTGATATTTTGCATCTGTACATTTCCCTTGAATCCTCCAACAGTTAGCTTTGTACACAGAATGTACTACCGGTAGTTAACTGCACCATCTCATCGTAAGTGTAACAAATAGCAGAATGTATTGCACAGACATAGTTTATATAAATATATAAAACGCTGAGTAAATGATTTGTAATTTGGACCCTTTAAATTTTCCACCCACCGGCCCCTGCACCCCCACAATATATCACTGCTAATCTTCTCCTCCGCAGCTTTACTTTAATGTCACATAAATCCCCGGCCCTGCACCCCTCCCATCGCAGCTCTGAGGTTCTCCACCCCTCTGCTCCTCCAGCCGGCCAAGAGTAGTGTACGTGCAATGGAATCTGGGATTATAAAAAACAAAACTCAGCTGGTTGTTTTTATTGTGGGGAGGCTCCCCCCATCAACGTAGTCACAGCTGCCAAATACGTCATGTTTTTCCCCGGCCCTGCCAAAGCACGCCCCTTCTAAACTCATTGATGGTAAGATAATATTTTGGGCGGAATGGAAGGGTGGGGGGGTGGGGGGAGGAGACAGCACACAAGAGACCGATCGGGACCCTGAGGTCAGGAGGTGTAGTCTGCACTCTTAGCCTGGGATGGAAATTAAAAGAGGATAAACTGGCAGGTTCATGAAAAGGTTGAAAAGGAGGGGAGCCAAGCAAGTCTTCAACCCTGCAGGTCAATCATTTGAAACCTAAAACGTGAAATATGAAACACATACAACAAAAAGATTTCCCTTGAAAACTCCTCATAACTGCTTCATCCTCTTTTCTAGAGGAAAATGGAGAATGCTTGCCTCCTTCCTTCCTCTCTGGAGCATCATGCTGGTGTTTCCATGACTGGAAAACCGAGACAACATAACCTCTGAGGAGTTCTAAGCAATAACAAAACAAAATTTCCAGCTTTGAAAATACATAAAATCCAGAGATGAACATGGAAAATATATAGTTATTCTCAAGGGAATTAAATATAAGACACAGTGAATATCAGTCCACATGCCAGGACTTGATCTCCTCCTGTTTTTGATATGCAAGCCTATAAAATGGCCTGTACATCATTAGTATTGTGATTATTATTGTTGTTGTCGTTATTAATGTATATTGTCTTACACAGATCATTCTAACCAGAGCAGCAGACACTTCTGGTCCCAACCTGCAATAACCACTGTTGGCCACTTGGGGCAGCAGATGGCGCACACCTGTACAATCCGCCCCATTAGCAGCGAGTCACCTGTTGACACTTCCGGTAGATTTGGCGCGAAATCAGCGTTCAGATTTGTTTGTGGACACTTGAAGAAGGTGATCCAACATGTCCGCTCTTTGTTGCCTCGTGTTCCTCGGTCTGGACTAATTCCTGGGAAATAAAGAGCTTGCTGCTGATAACACCTCACGTGTGAGGTCACACAGGTAACCACCACCCTGACATCAGACTATATAATGAACATGAGCCTTTCTCACTCTTTTTAACTTTTATTTATTCTGTTGTATTTGTTTTTTTTTTAGTTATAATCATTTAATAGAATAAAGTCTATGGTCAAATTGTTCTTATAAGAAATCAAGTAACTCCACTGTATGTGAGCGGGTTTCTGAAAGTGACAAGAGGAAGTTTTAGGAATCTACTTTATTAAATCTTCACTAAAAGATATTTGTCTCATGCCGCAACCCTCCATGCATGAACACAGCAACTTGTGTCCGCCCACACTCACGTAGACATCCTCTGGAAATCTAAAGCACATGATAACTGGGGAGGAATTTAATATAATTTCACATACTTTGGAAAAGAAAAAAAAAAAACATGCATCATGGGAAATGTACTATGCAATTTCAAAGCTGTGATCCACATTAAGGGAGGGGCCCTCTGTTAGACAAATATGGGGCCCCGCTGACTAATGTGCACACATGAGGGAGTGACCAGACACATGTTAGCGTTTCGTCAGACAGCCGTACTAAAGGCCATTTAATCTTAAATCGTTTTTGTGTAATGACTCTTTCACACTACAGTGTGCGTGTGTTTGTGTGTGTTGTGAGTTTGTACTTTATATTAACACTGGATTATCTGTGGAGTTACTTTGCTTGAAAGCGTCTTTACAGAATAAAATGAAGAAACGCACCGATGGACAAAAGTTGCAAATTAAAAAACCTTGAAGTGAATATTTAGTCTCCATAGACGCCACAAACAACAAATAACAATGGAATCTTGATATCCTGCCTGTTTCCTGCACGGCGCTCTGTGCTGTCATTTGTGGAACACCAACATCTGCTGTAGGAAACAATCTGGAAAGCATCGTTTCTGTTTTCCAGTGATGCAACCCTCCATAGATGCATCACACCCTGTAGTAAACTGCAGTGAAGAGTCTGTGCACTTGATTATTGCAAAGTAGAGATAATGTACAGAAGCTGACTTCAGTTTTGCAGACGAATCGCACGATAACACTACAAATTATTAAAGGTCTAATTTATGAGGTTGACAAAAAACTGTTATATTTGCTTTAAAATACTTTTTCAAATGAAATGTCTGTTTAAAATGTAAACACCTTGACAAACTCCACATATATAACATAAGTCTATTAACTAAAAGTTATATATGTATATATATATAAGTCCACATAGTAATAATCCTTACTGTAGATAGAGGGAAGCACAGAGAAGAAAGTGAAGTCAGACTGTGAGATTGTTGGGTTAGGATGCCCCCTGCTGTGGCCTTCGGGGCAAACTGAAGACAGTCAATAACAAAAGAACAAAATGAAACGGAAAAAATGAAAGGAAACTATTTGTATAATTATCGAATCATGGTTTATATAGCCCTGCCAAATTTTAACTGCACCCCGGTGGGAGTCTGTTCCACATGTTCTGTCCCATGCACATTATGTGAACAGTTTCTCATGAAGCTGCTTGGTAGACATGTTGGAGTATTAACTTGCACATGAATTATAAACTGAGAGTATTGAAATACCTCCAGGTCTTTGAGGCCTGATTGATTCTACGTGCTACAATCACCCGGGGTCTGATAAAGATGAACTAGACTAAACATTGATCTCATGCAGTTAAACTGAATCATCACGGTACAAGAACCAATTCATATTTATTATCCTTTTAAAAAGTAGAACACTATTATGGGAGTCTACTGCATACAAAATATTGACTGTATATAAATATGGACGACACATCTACAATCTGGAATTAGTCTCAGCTGTTAATAATGATGTTTCCCCCTGTTTTTATTGCATACAATTTATAATTTAAACCAAACTTGCATACAAGAGTGCGATGCTAAAATGACAGAAACCACCTTTTAGAAAAATTTATCAGACATTTCTCTTTTTTTTTTTTAGTTCGCTCCATATCCCATCTGCTAACACGGAGGAGGTGGGATTAATGAGCTCTACTGCAGCCTGCCAGGAGATGATCGAGATGCTCTTTATACAAGGTCTGTGGTCTTGAGGTTACAAGGTAGGGTGCAAACTTAAATTACAGGATTCTTTCAACAGTTTGCTGCTGAAGATAAAAGATTTTTTGGAGATTTCACAAGAGAGTTTTCTGTATGTTGTTTATTTCATTTATATTTCCGTGCTGTTTAAGAGTTGTTCGGGCTCCGGTAGAAACAGGTCATGTCATATACGTCATAATTAAATTTTTTGAGAATTGGGTGTTGTGCACCTCTTAGGCCACAAGAGTGTAGTGCACATTAACATGATGTGCTGGTTGTGAGGTGGAAGCAAAACAACATGCACACTCATTATCCTCCCAAAAGATGAAACTGAAGGCGACGTAAAGCTGGAGAAAAATTAAATCAAGTTGTTTTACATAACTTAAAATGATAATTATGTTACTGTGCATTTCTGCTGTAAATATACACAAATCTATCAATGAGTGTTGTGTCATGACAGGGGTAGAAATAAGAAATGAGTTTGAGGCAATACAAGTATTCAAGATAAAGAGTAGGTATCAAAACAGGAACCATGACTTGACCAAACTGCAGCAGGAACCAGGAGGAAGAGGCTAACAGGCTAACAAGCTAACAAGCACTCTACTGTCTGAGTCTGGTGCATGAAAGAATCCGTCGAGCTCTGACGCAGCTCAGCATGTACAGGAAGTGTTGACCGAGTCTGTGGGAGAGTCGAGTAGAGTCGAGGATACGTGTCGCTGCAGTTCAGGCCCTCGGGGAAAACATGTTTCAATAAGTCACGAATCACACCGAGGAAACTGATCCTCGTCACGAAGTGCTCTTATAACACGATTCAAGGTTTACATTAATTAATCATCGGAAATCTACCGTGTTTAATCTATAGGAACACTGTGGTTGATTTAAGGGGCTGTCAAACAATTAATCAAATTAGCTACTTGCTTTTTGTCCCCATCCACTATGGTCAAAAGTTTGTCTCTATAATCTTCAGCTTCAATTTTGCAACTCTATATTTTATCTTCTAATAGCTTTACGATGGGTTTCGGGGAGTGTTCCTCCTTTATCAGCACATCCTTGAACTGAACCTATAAATTTTGGACTCTTCTGGAATTTATGTGCTTTGTTAATTTTGTAAGAAAAGAAAATACAACCTCTGCAGCGAACACATGTTAAAAACTAGCATTTAGTTAAATGTTATTTTGATATCAAAGGAACAGAAATCTGCTTTATCTGTACATTTCATTTATTGATCACCTACCAACTTATAGCTTATAGAGAAGTCGTAAAAAAATATATATAATCAGGATGTGGAAGTGAGGGAGGGGTGCATGTTTTTGAGAGTGATTAAACCTGAATCAAGATTTCATTCTCCATTCATGAAAACAGTTTTTTATTAAATGCCTTCAATTGGATTTGTTTCCCATAATAATAAACCAGCAGGGTACAGAGCTGTCTGAGGCTGAATCAATGCTGATCATGTAAATCACGTGAGCTGCCTCCATTTCTTCACGTGGCCTATAAAGCATTCATTAAAAATGGACTAGATTTTAAATCACTTCTCAAAATGCTTCGTTTATATTAATTCCGGGTTCACTGTTAATATCTGTTTCATTTTTAATCATAAATCACTGTTGGGGGGTCTTATTTTGCTTGTATTTGCCTCCCTGCTGTCAGGCATCAGCTCTTGACTGGTTATAATGAAAACAATAGCAGCCACAATTCATATCATAAATAATGAATAATAAGTATCACTGCTAATATTAATAGATGTTATCCTGCAGTTGTGGCTTCAGCTCTTGACTAGTTATAATGAAAACAATAGCAGTGTAAAGATTGATTATTAATGACAGCAGCAACAATTCATATAATAATTAATGAATAATAAGTATTACTGTTAATAATAATAATAGATGTTATCCTGCAGTTGTGGCGTCAGAGATACCTGCAAAGAGAGAGAGAGAGAGAGAGAGAGAGAGAGACTATGGGAGGAAAGAGACACATGTGACGTGCATTATTATCATTATTATCATTATTATCATTATCTTATCATCGTTACTGACATATCATTGTGAGCATCATCATAATCCCCTCTGTTGCTATCATCAGTGTTGCGTCCTCCTCCTCGCCGCCTCATACATAACACGCTGCTCTGTTCCTGTTTGCAAACATGCGTCAAGAGCACGTGATCGCGCCGACGCGTCTCGCGGCGACGTCCAATCGGGAGACGGGGGTGTGTGCGGGTGGGCGTGGCGCAGCGGTGTTGCTGTGAAAAAATGTCGCTGGACGAGTCTGGTCCATTAAAGGAACCACCGAGGACTCTGACCCACAACACCGGGAGGCTGAGGGCGGAGGGGACCGCACCGGAGCCGGCGAGACACGGACACTGTGAGTAGTTCACCCCCTCCCACCCTTTCCTCCTCCTCCTCCTCCTCCTTCTCCTCCTGCTGTCCACACTTCCTCCAGAAACTCCTCGTCTCCATGCACTTTCTGCTCCGGTGAACCAGCATCTCACACCATCATCTGCTGCGCGTCTCCGGTGGGCGGTGTATCCTTCCTTCCTTCCTTCCTTCCTCCATTCCCTCTTTTCTAACATTTCCTCCATGTCATCATTCACCTGCGTGATATTTATGTAACGCATGCCTTTTTTTTTTTTTTATAAAGTGCCTCTCTCTTTATCTGCGGCCAATGAGAATTACGCACGACTGTGATTTGGCTACTGCGATGTCGTGCGCAGTTTCCAACGTTACCCGGAAATAAGCGAGGTATTTGCTCTCAGCTGTTTCCTTATAAAAACATGTCTGTGCGCATTTTGTGGCTCATTTTTCCTTCGGAGCCCGTGATAGAGAGGGGGTGGGTGGGGGGGGGGKGGATGGATGGAGGGATAGATGGAGGGGATAGATGGATGGAGGTGTTTGCTGCAGGAGGATGTTGCGCACTTCGTTTTTTACCTCTGGAGTGAGTGACCCGCTGCTGCGTAATGGTTTTCAATGTGCGAGGTACCTGCGCTCATCGTCGATGTTTAATCTCAGTTTTCAACCTGTTTGTGATGAAGACTCGTTTCTTTGGTTCGTCCCTTCGTGTCTAAATTATAAGTGGCAAGATAAGAAGTTAGATTAAGTTACAGAGGAGCGTGAATACTTTCAATTATTGTACTTTTTAAAAGAAAAACAAGGGAATCTGTCTGTTGCTTGCTTTTCACTGGTAATGTATATCTGTATATCTGCACGTAGGTTAATTACTTTTAAAGTTGTGTTATTATTGTACTTGTCAGTATCATGTTGTGTACAATGTACTGCTAAATATACTTTATTGTAAGTGTAAAAATGTAAAATTAAGTTGCCACTTCATTCAAGAATATTTTGTTGTGTAAAGACCTAAAGTTAATATTATGTAAGATTGTTTTTTTTCCCTCCATTGTTCCATTTGCAGAAAAATCTTCCCTTCTATGAGTTTATTTATTTTAACATATTCTTCTTATTAGTGTTATTGATTCCTCCTAAAGTCTCGTTTTTTTAATATTTGGAAAGCTGTGATGTCTGCGCCTCCTGTGCCAGCGCCTTGACTCAGCTCCATCCAGAGGTTTCTATGTCATACGCACTTTTTATTCCTGATGTAAACAAACCCTCCAATGAGTAATTCCCTCTTCCAACACAGGGCGGCGTGTTCGTGCAGGTTTGTGCCACAGCTCGTACTGAACATGAAGTATCAGAAACATTGCTGATGGAATGATTCAGATATTTGTACAGAACATCTACATGTTTTGTTTTTTTTAAAGTCCTCACAGTTCTGCGGTCGTGAGGATTGACACGTCTGTTTGACGTTTTGATTTTAATGAATATTTGAGAAGCGCAGAAATGAACGTTTTACAGAATCCTAACAGAACCACACAGTCAAGATTAGACTTTTCTTCTTCCGCTCCAGATAAATATTGCTGTTCTCGTTTTTACAGAGGGAAATGAGGTGCTGCTTCAGACTCTCTCTCTCTCTCTCTCTCGAAGGTAAGAGCCAGTGCACGTCACGGAAAACCAGCGATATTTACAACAGCGCAGCAGCTCACTGTTTATATCATTTATTGTCAAAAAGTTGACAGCATTTCAATCCAAGGTGTCAAAGTGTCACAGTAACTCTGCACTAAACTAGTTCTTTCTCCAGAAACTGTTTAATACGCTTGTTCTGAAATAATAATACCTGGGATTTTCTCAGGAGCTGCTGCGACGCAAACTACTCGACCACGAGCTGAAGACGTGGCACCTGCAGATCTGGGTAATGACAAAATGATCACACTGTTTACCGTAAATACACAAAAAACATGATGATAATCTTTTTATTATTAAATGCACGTGTGGGAGCGTTTGGGATCCATGCCCATTGATCCCAATAGAGCCAAAAACATATGAATGGAGCTGACTGGGCAGTTTTCCAGGGGAGAGATTAAGGTTTAGGAAGTGGAACGGGCATGGTTGATAGATGACACGGCTAAAATTAACACACTGCCCACTGGATGAGGAACATAAATAGCAGACAGGAAGGAGCTGCACTTGGATGTATCTTTAAAGCTGTAGCACGTCTCTTGTCAGCATAAACACAAACCACAGTCACAGTAAAACTTCCTGTTTGCGGCTACAGGCTGCAGTGCGATTGGGTGAATGAATAAAGATACAGAAAAGGAACCGGCACATGAGATCAGTCGCTATTAGATGCATTAAATGTAATGTGGCGTGCAAAGAAATTCATTTTAAAATGTGCGTTGTGCGTAGAGATCTTGGACAGGACACACACGTAAAGACTGCAGAGATGATAGACCTCAATCCTCGGATCGATACTCGGCATCTACTCTGATCAAACATGCTTTGATCCCTGAGATCTCTTACGTTTCCCATGTAGCTCGGGGGTGAAAGCTGATTCTGTTACCGCTGCTCTCCTTTCTCAGTCGCTGTAAGGTGAAGCTGTGGGCTTTGTATCCTCCGACTCCGGTGGGGAATATGCACGTCACAAGGCTGCAAGTGACTTTAGGTAAGAACATTTTACAGCCACTGGAAGAAAATCTAAACATGAACCTGGAGGATAAAGAAAAAATGACATTGACAACTCAGCTTTTGAATTTTCCTTGTCATCTTTCAATCCTTTTAAAAACTAAGGTTAAGTCGGCAAGGCCGCGCTGCTGCAGCGTTAAACATATTCTCAAAATGTCGTTGACTGCAGTTCAAGCCAACACTTGTGATTTTCGTAATAAACTGAATTTCCTCCGTGGAAATATTCTCCCTAACTCAAAAGAGAATCTATGAATTATTGATGAAGGCACTTGTTGAACGCAAAATTTATATCTCTGTAACAAATAGCTGAGCCGGTACAGAGAGGAACTTTATTTATCTTTTGTTAACTGTGGCAAAGCTCTTATTTCAGTTTGGCACGTAAAAGGGACTTTATGCTTGAGAAAGGCAGACAGACCTTTATTGCCTCAGCCTTGTTCAGAACAGATTGTTCCTCTTATTGCTGTGAAGCACGCTACGGCGTTGCCTTGGTATTTACACAAGCAGTTTTTTTTCTAATTTGATTTAAGACATTATTTTTTCAATCTAATTGTGGATATGGACAATAATCATTCATTGATTTTAACTTTTAACTCTCTACGTGGTGCTGGAGTTACTCACGTTAAGATAAATAATTAACTAGTAATCATTAGTAATTATAATTTTTTTGGGTGTTGTACTGACAACTAATTTCTGTCCTTTTGTGTTCCCACAGCTCCGTTGGCCAAATTACGTTAGAGACGGAAACTCATCTGATCAAGGTACGTGAAGAATCAAATGAAACTGCAAAGCCTCAAATTCTTAAAATAAACTCTGCTAATGTTTGACTGAACCAAAACAGACTATTTATAAGACAGCGTCACAGTCATTTTAAAGACACAGCAACTTCCCTCTAACATTTCATACAAGTGTTATACAATTGCGTATCAGTTCACAGTTAAGTTTTTTATAGTCTCGTCGTTTTACAAGATTTGTGGCATTATGGAACTAGAAAGTCATTTATGTTAAATAGATGTTGATGATTAGGATTAAACAGTTTTTTTTTTTGTCTCCTTTGGATGAGGTCGGAGGCAGGAAACAACAAGAAATGAAAGAGGAAGAACGTGTGGTCGGCCTATTCATGGTAAATCTCCTCACACTCTATGTTCTTTTCAATGCTAGCTCTATTCAGGAAGTAAAACGTATTAACACTGAATGTGGAGCAGAATGCAGAAATCACTATCAACCATCATATAATTTTCTACAAGAGACAACATACAGATATTTATATATATGAATATTTCTTCCGGTGGAGCTTCAGAGATGAGCGGAGTCGCTCATTAGACAGTGTTTGAAAAGCCGAAACACCATCTGAGCGCTTATGCAACTGATACATAAGCTGGTGATGTGCCTTTAAAACCAGTGGGTTGTCAGGTGATCGAGGAGGCTCAGTCAGCTCAGCCTCACAGACAGAGGAGCCAGAGTGCGTCTCTAGCAGAGAGGAGGGCAGCGGAGAGGCAGAGAGACCCAATTATAAGGGGACATGGGGGGGAAATGGGGACACAGCAGCGTCACAGAGTGGGGGACAGGGAGCCGTGGTGGTAGGGTCCCTTTTACTGCAGTCTGCTCATGCTGACTTCCCTTGTGTGGCTGCGAGCAAGTGTGTTTCTGCCTCAGCTTGATCATTACGCTGTGTTGTGCAGCCACAACAGTGGTATAAAAGCGCAGAGAATTAAGTGCTGCGTCACACTCAGGAAGAGGAATAGCGTGATCCTGCGTGCGTGTGCATGGCTGTGCGTGCATGCGCACGTACATATGCATTTCTGTGGGGTCTGCTCCATTTCTGTGTCTATGTGTTAGTTCGAAGCAGCAGTGTTAATGGCAGATCTGCTGTTGCAACCAGATGAAAATAAAGGGTGCGTGTGTTTGAGAGGTAAGCAGAAAGCGAGAGGGGGAGACAGAGAGACGAGGGAGAGCAAGTCAGAGGGAGAGAGAGAGAGATTTTGGATTAGTTGCTACGTCACTTTTTCATGTTGGCAGAAACAGAAGCTGAGATAGCAGAAGCCCAGAGTCATCGAGTTTTCCACCTGAAGTGGACACAGTGGTTTCGGACAAGCTCGGCTTTCTCCTCTTCCTCTTCCTCCTTGGTAGTTTTGATCTGCTCTGCCTGTCGCTACTATATTTATATATATATATATATATATGTGTGTGTGTGTGTGTGTGTGTCTGTGTGTGTGCTGTGTGTGTGCTGTGTAGTTCCTGTGAGAGCTGGTATTGGGAGTTTCAACATGGATGCTGAAGATGGCACAGTTTCTCTAGATCTTGTTGTGATAGTGTGTTGGGTGGGCTGAGGTGCGACAAAGGGGTTAACAAAAAAAATATTCTGGAGGATTCTTAATACCACAGCGAAGCTCAGTCAGGAATGTTTTGCCGAGAATTATCGAGGTATTCAAACATCGCTGTTTTTTTTTGGTGTTTTTTTAGCCACCATCACCACACGGAATAGAGATGATTACATCGGTGTGAATAGGTGAATACAATCATGCATGGTGTCGTATGACCTATTATGAAACAGTGTTATATGTTTGACACGCCGTCATATGGGAGTGTGCACCGACGGAGCGGTGTGTACAGAACAGCTGCCATCAAATCAAATTATAGGATAAGTCCGTTGCTTTATTCGTCTCCTTATATGTGTATTTTCTGTATATGTTGCCGACTACTTGTTATGGTTAACTCTCGATGGAGTTGATGAGGAGAGTGAGCATGCATGTTGTATGACTGGTTGGGATCTGTATGTTATCGGACAACAGATGAGCTCGCTGTCTGTGGCTAGTGGCACTTTTATCATGTGATTTGTTTTCGTTCCTCTGGGCCACTGGGATTTGGCAAAGCCCTTCCCGAGACACATTTGTTTCTGCGTAGTAAGGAGAGACAGAGACGGTGACGCAGTCATCTCTGGGCTGGATTTCTCCTCGACCAGCACGCAGCAGCTTGAACCTCTCCCTCTCTTTCTCTATCTGTTTATCTATCTATCCATCCATTGCTCTCCGAGAGAAGGGGAGCGATGAAAAAAGGGCTAAATGTCACAGCTAAGGATCTGAAGTAGAGAAACTGAGATAGAGAAAAAAAAAAAGAGAGGGGGAGAAAGAGAGAAGTTGTTTACCTTGCTCTCTTGGTGACTTTGCTTTGGCGTCTCTCCAGTTCACATGCACTGGACTTCCTAAAGCTGCAGCATCACAGGCCATCGTGCCAAAGCTGGATTCTCATTGGATGGGAGGAGCTCCCCTGGCTCCACAAGCTGCACAGCAGCACTTTATTGGCTTAGTGCAAGCAGGCAGCCGGAGGTCAACATCTGATTGGTTGAGAGGCGCTTTTATTTTATACAAAGCTTGTGCAGAAACACTGTTCCGTGGATACATGTATGTTTTGTATGAGTTGACTTGTTGGTCATTGTTAGAAGGTAAAAAAAAAAATGGTAACATGAATTTTCCTATAAGTTTAAAGAGCCGAGGAATCTTTTGTTGGGAACATCCCTGCCAGTGATTGTGAAGAGATTATCATACTTTCACCAATCAGCTGATTTCTCTCTGTACCTCAGTAACACAGCGATTTACAGGAAAAGTCATTTCCTAATAATTTCCCCGGAGCTACAGAATGTTTCCTTATAACAACGAAATGGTGACGATCATTGAAGCCATTATTTCAGTGTAGTTCGTTGATTTCCACCTGAATTTCCTGGCAAAAATGTGTTTTATTTGTTTTATGTGAAGACAAATTCCACATGACCTGCTGTTTGTTGATCTCAAGATTCTGTAGCCTGCAGCAGCTGAAAACCTGAATTAATTAAAAGGAACTGTACCAATAACACAGTCTCAGGTGGAGCATCGCTCCTCAGTTTTACATCTATTTATTGATTTCAACATTGTTTGAGGCCGACATACGAGGATAATTTAAATATTTAATAATCCAATTGCCAAGTCCCATTTTTCCCGGAGATTAAACGATAAATTGCGCTTCCAGAAACACGACAACGGCAACATATCAGTTTCTTTTCCTGGAAATCGAAGTGAACTGCGAGAGCTGTAAAACTTCCTGCTCACTCTGGACTCTGGACTCTGGACTCAGGGCTGCTGCTCAGCTTCTCCCACACAGCGGGACCGTGTCTGTTGAAGGTGGCGACCGCACAAGGGACTTAAACCCCCCCCCCCCCGGTCGAGGACGAGCTCTTCTCGTTCTGCTGGCTGGAGGTCAGGCGACCAAACAGACGCCACGTTTCTGAGATGATGCAAGAGCGTGTGTGGCTGCCCGCGCGGTCTGCATTGCAGCTCCCGCTTCCACAGTCAGCGCCCCCCCCCCCCTCTCTCGTTCACCCTCTCTCTTTTAAATGTGCTGATGGTATAACAAACCCTATACTGAGGCTGCGTATTTATGATGATTGTAGAGACGAAGGTTCTTATTATCAGCGCTGAAGCTGATACTCTCCCAGTCAACTCGCCACTACGGGGTGGGGGGGGGGGGGCATTCCTTATGAATAAGTGAAGACTCTGGTTCGTCTGCTTGTCTGAGGCCACACACACACACACATATCAACACCAAGCGTAAAGGTGACGCACCGTTAGAGACCGAATCGTTTTAGCTCCACACTAGATGGTTCATTTAGGTCTTTTTTTAAATAAGCTGTATTTTAACTTGTATTTTTTTGTACACGTTCAACTGTCACCTATCAAATGTATTATGAATCAATCAATCAAATTTAATTTGTTTAGCCCCGTCTTGTAACAAGGTGCGTCATCCTGTGTTCTTAACCGTCAACAAGAGTAACCAAAAAAACCTGCTAACAAGGAAACACGTCAATGTTTTAAGTAAATGTCATATCGTGCATATTTCACTCTCAGCTTTACTCTAGGTGTGAAAATCCATTTCATTTCAATTCGCTGTGTTTAAAATGACGGACGACTGTGACGACTTGGCCCTTATGAGTTTCCCCAGGGTGCGTCACACATTCCCTGAAGGCCTCCTGTCCCTTTAAATCTTTCATAAGCATTACACAACAGGTCCAGTGGCACACAAGCAACAAACAGCCCAAAAAAAGAAAATTGTCAGGGTTGGGTTGAGGCAGCCAAAGGAACCAGACACCTACAGATAGACAGGCTCTCTGATCAAAACCGTCACTGTGGCTACCGTGCAAATACACACACACACACCCCCACACACACACACACACACACTTATATTACCTTACACGCCCTCACACACAAACAAATGGACTTGCAAAAGCTGTGGGGATTGTATCCTTCCTCCCATCTGATCTGGCTTCAGTGAGGTTAAAAGACGAGTGTGGGGGAGACGTGAAGGCAGACTGTGTGTAGGCGCATGTGTTCTGAAGGGATGAGGGTTTGAAGACAGTCGTCAGTGGGAGAAAAGATTTTAGAATCGATTTGGTAGTTTTGTACTTTGTTGAAACACTTGGCAACGTGTCAGTGAACTGGTCACTACCTGTCCCTGCCCCACCCTGCCAGCGTATTACTGCTGCGTGTCTGCACCATGGCTCCCACTGCCAGCCATTGACTGCCACTTCTTTGCTTTTCCCTTCTAGTCGATCGGAGGGCGAACTCATCCCCGACTATTCTACCAGGCAACAAGAGAGAATAGGACTCGTCGAGGTCCGTGTGCCTGCTGCAGCTGCAGGTGAGCGATGCGTTGAAGACGCACATCGGCGTTGTTTTGTGTTTCTGTTCCTGTTTCGGCCCTTCACACATCCTTGAAGCTCGGATCGGGTATCAGATCAGCCGTGTAGGCGTGTTACAGAGAAACGAATTGAGAGAGAGCGAGAGAGAGAGAGAGAGAGGGAGAGGTGTGTGTTCTGGTGCTTTCTCTGTGGTTTTCCATTTCATCTCTCTATCTTCTGTCTCTCTCTCCCCTCACCTGCTTCCCTCCTCTCTGCTTTCTGGCCCGAACCAGGGCGTTGAATCATACTTCCTCGTTGAGCCGGAGAGTCTAACCTCTCTCAGAGTGCATTACAATTAAGGTCCATAGTATCAGAGGTGCTGCCAGTTTTCCCTGCACTGTCATCTCAGTCTGCTCGAAAAACAACGACAGCTTCACTACAAGTGCACTGTGCACGTCATTAATTCAATCATCAGTGTAACAGTGATAAATACGCCTGTTAAATAAACTACAGGAGAAATATTGTGCATCTTCTCTGTCCCGAAACTAATTCTGTTACCTGGATTATTCATTTCCACCGATATCAAGTACCAATCCGATGCCAGTGCATTTAGAAATTTGAACAGCTGTGTGCTGCTAACCCAGGATGGAGGTGGGTGTGACCTGGCTACAAAATAAAACTAAGAATAAACAACAATTACTTCCTTTAAATAAATCGAAACTGAAGTTTTCACATGTCGCTGTTTTGCTGGCGGCACTTTCCAGCGTGAAATGTTTACAAATTGCTGACATTAAGTTCCGTCTAACGCTTCACTATCAGTACTGCTTCGTGCTCGCCAGTGGCAGTAAAGCTCAGCTGCTGTTTTGGAGCTGTGAAAAGGAAATTGCAGTTATATCTGGGATATACAGAAATATTTTAAAGACGTGGTATTGAATTGGTACATAGATTTTGCATACTTATCGTTCCCTGACCTGGCATTTTTCACAGTATTGGAGGCGGATCTTAATTATGGGAACGCCGCTAACGTTGCCTCAAATTTGCATAAAGCACGCCCCCCAGAAACAGCAGAGGCTGATATTTTCTCCACTGATGACCGATCACAAGAGTGGGCTGGCCAATCAGATCAGACTCTTATCAGGAGGGCGGACTTAAAGAGACAGGAGCTAAACCGAATGTGTTTCAGACGTTTTTTTTAACTGCATGTAAATCTTTTATGATAACAACACTAATTTAAATGAATCAGACTGAACACGAAGATTATGTCTCCTTTAATTGTTCTATTTACAAATGTAAAGTCTACGGAGCTATGGGACCACAATGTCTGCCTCTCTCAGATCTCATTTCACAGTCCAATCATACAATAGTTGTGAATGTTTCTTATTTAGCTTCATCTGTAATTCACATCTGTAAATAAACCATTGTATTCTGTAAGAGATGGATGCTCCTGAGATGGAATAGATCACCATTTTTTCACCACGTCAGTTAAAAATCTGTTAAATGTCGACCAGCGCCTGTTTATTGTCCTCAAACTCTTGTTTTGAAGTAAAGAGAGAAAGCTGCAATCTACAAGGAGCATCTTGAATTAGTTAAGAAGTTTGCCCCAGACCACATTTTGTCTTCTTGAAAATATCAATACCTATTATCAAAAACATCTGTCCCTCGAGTCACTGCTTCGTATCTATGGTATCTTTCCGAGGCTCCTTGTTAATTACAGTACATGCGGATATTGAGCTACACGTCTATCTGCTGCTGCATCTGAACCATTTTTTCTTGTTCTCTCAAATCTTCTTGTTTCAGTTTCGGCGAAAATGCTTCTTGGAAGCGCCTTCGTGGAATCGCTGCCCGTACCACATCCACTACAATGGAGAATCACAACTTGTCAACCAGACAGTGTTGATTTCCCTTTTGTGGTTTCCTACTAATGTTGATTTATTTTTTCGTTTAGGTTCCATCGAGGGTGTTTGGCGCGACTGAAAGTCTTTTGTGTGCCCCCCTTGGAAGCTGGTTTCAGATGGTGGCTTAGAGTATTGTCATCTATCTAGCACCATTTGAAATCAGTGTTCTTGGGGTGGGAAGTGTTTCACTGAGCAGGAACAGGAAGCCGTGAAGTGTCACAGCATGTTTCTGGTGCTGAGGGTAAAAGAGAAAATTTCACCTGTCAAGCGTCGCTCCGTGAAAGCGCCATCCAGTGGTCAACAAACGAAAGCTCACGCTCTTTGTCCTATCTCCAAGGTTGACCGATTTCTTTTGGTGTTCAGAGTCTACTATTGTTTCTAGCACCATTTGAAATCGGTTACAGTGAAGGACAGATCTCATCCCTGATGTGGAGTTTACTGCTCTGAAACTTGGACAGTTAAACAGTTTAATTTGAGGCAAAGTGGTATTTAGTTTTCAAACAGTGCAGGGTCTCTCATTGATATCTAGATTGATTTATAATACAGGCCATATTCTATATTTTAGTGTTGACAGTAAAATGCATTGTTTTATGTCTCTCACCTAGAAGAAATGTCCTGTTTGCAGTTTAACAGTAATGCAACAGGTGATAAGTAAAACATTTGCACTTGATGAAATGTTGGTATAAAAGCAATTTGAGTAATTGGATGTTCGGCACTGTAAAATAAACTATTGCATCAGAATTGTTTGTTTTATTCAAATAGAGTTAAAAGACCCAAAATGAACACTGTAAGCGGACTACGTGATCACTATAACCACATCATTTAACGGCCTTTTTGAAGGAATGATTTTCTCACAGGCTTTTTGATCCATACAACTGGTAAAGTCTGCAAATGAAATGAGATGTGAGTAGCTAGTGTTTCCTTGTTAATTATTAGTTTTATGTCTTAAAGATTTGGGACCAAGAGGTTTCTAGTGAAAGAAAACATGTAGCGATAAGCAAAGTTTGTGCAATATTAAAAAAAAATCAAAGCAAATCTAACACATCAAGATTTATTTCATCATTACAAAATTATTTTTGACTTCAAATTTACAGAAAACTAAAATTTATTTTTTTAAACAAATAAATAAAATGTTGAGCAAGTGCAAAAAATCTTTACAAATCGTATTCAGTACATCTCAATGTCGCCACAGTCAACACGTAACACTGGAAGCTTTTCTCTTTCACAGTAGTGTGGGGAATTTGTTAGGCTCGTGATTAAGCCTCGTTACCTGTCACCAACAAGTCAGTGAACAGTTTGGCAGTTCTAAAAGGAAAAATGTCTGTTTGGAATAAGGCATTTAAAACACCCACATGTCGACAGACAGGCACTACGCTGCATCCCACCTTTCTGAGCGGTGGAGGTTGAATTTACAGGACTAATATATAGGCTCTGACCCCCTCAATCTATAAGGGGTGTCAACAATATATCAGTTACGAGCTTTGTCTGAAGTTACAATTCAATCAGTTTTTTAGCATCACACTGAAATGCTGTTTAATCCCAACGGCTGTGTTTAAGGTAAGCAGTGCAAACATTCAATATTTCTCAATTCCAACCATTGCTGCATTTCATGCTATAGTGGCTTCAGCTGTGCTATGAGTATTAGTGCAAACGTTTAAAAGCTTCTTTGACAAACAAAATCTCATTCATTCGGAATTAAGACAAAAGAAAAACTTCTGAACTGGCCCTCATCACGGACAGAAATAATTATGGTGAGTTAAAAGTAAAGTATTACATATGCACATAACTCATCTAACTAGAGCAACAAGCAGGAGAATAAGCTGAGGACTGAGCTCAGACTGCAGAGATTTCAGGATGTGATATGGCATAACGTCTGTATCACCAGATTAAAGCTACGAGCATGTTAAAACCCTCGTCCAGAAGCGTTCTTCTTCCAGTTCAAATCATTGTAACATCCCGTGAAGTAGAACAGCGATGCTTACTGCAGGCAAAGAATAAGAAAAATAGTGTTAACATGACATGTAAAAAAAAAAAAAAAACCTACAGCCCTGTGAATGAAGGAAAGAAATGCATAAACATTTGTGACGGGTTTAAAGACAGGGATGTTGGGCCATTCTTCCAACTGTCAGAGCAACAGGTTTAGTTTGCAGCTCAGGATAATGTGGAGGAAGAAGCATGGTGAACATTACTGCAATAATACAGCACGGCATGAATTGACACATTCTAATGCTCAGGAAATGCATCACTTTCCGCGTATTGCTGCAGTTCCTCTTCTGAAACCTGTGGTTGTCCCTCCCATCTCCTCCTGGTAAAAACCCTGACTGCTCTGGTGTGACTGGTCAAACGCTTCCAGTGTAGGAAGCGACTGCCCTCGCTCCTGTTTTACTTGGCCTTATTCGGGGGGGCGTGACAGACTAGCTGCCAGGCGTGCATTATGCAAATGTCATCTCATGTTACATAGAAATAGCAGGAGGCGTTTCAGGAGCAGGGTTTTCTCTTGGGGAATCGGAGTTCCCTCTACCACAGACTTTGGACTTTAAATTTGCAGAAACTTTACATAGACAAAAACATAAATAACACCTCGAAGGATAAAAACACTGACAAGCATCATATGTCTCCCTTAAAATGATCCAACCATATCATCATATACCGTTCCTGCTCATCTCATCATTATCTGTGCATTTGGCATACATAAGTTCAAGTGTGCTTTGCGGCCAATCTTCTTACCGATAGTGGAATTCCCTCTCCATGTTTTGCAGCCTCATTGTCGGGAAAACTTCTCTGAGAGCTGTAATCCAATAATGGTCAACTTTACTGCTAACGTATGACCCAGTTTTATATAATGTAGTAAAGTGTACAGAGGACCCAGAACAACTTTTAAGAAAGGATACCACACACACACAAGCCACCACTCGTCTCTGGCTTGCAGCCGCACTACCAAAATGTGTTTTTTTTTTGAGATGCCAAAATGTTACCTGTTCATTTCTGCAGGAAGATATAAGTATTGAGCAAATGGCTGAAATATCCCC